GGGGGGAGCTCAGTATCCACTGTTGCAAGACATTTTAATGTAACACGAAGAACTGTGTACACAACAATAGATCGTGAGAAAGCACCAAAAATCAGGAAATGATCGACACCACCAACGTGAGAGAAGAAAAATTACTCCAAGAGAGGATCTTTTTATACGTCTGTCGCATCTACGGAATCGTTTCAAAACGGCAAGAAGAACCAGAGGTGAGTTGAACAACATGCGACAACCCCAGCCTCAGACATTTCCTCAACTTGAGAGAGCATCACATAAAGAGGGGAATAACATCCCTCAACAGGCAGTGGAGCGATTAATTGATTCAAGGCGGCGACGATGTCAGGCCGTCATCAACGCTGCTGATCGTGTTACTTTTGTAGACCACACTCTTGTAAGTCTTGAATGAACCTGTTATGTTAACATTCAGTATTGTTGTTGCTTTTTTCGTTTTTAAAATTGATTGAATTCGTATTCCTGAAATTTTAAAGAATATCGACTCATTGTGAAAGTAGCTATTTTCATTTGAACACAGTGTCTACTTAAAAATGTGACAGAGTATATTAATGTGACTGTTTATATACAACGTGTTAGGAATTTGAGTCTAATATTGTTTTTTTATTAGCCTAAGCCTGTGTGTTGAAAAATATAAGATACTGTGATTTTTCTTTCTTTCAAAACATGTTTTTTGCCACGTCTCTGGGAAAACGATAGAAGGCAAGTGTTCATCTTTTGTTTTGATGTCTAGTGGTTAGGCTACCGGACTCGTAATCGTGAGGATGCGGGTTCGGGGGTTCGAGCCTCAGCTCGGTCCGACGTTGTGTCCTTGGGAAAGGCACTTTACACGAAATTTCCATTTGGCTCGCTCTTTTCGGAGATGAAGTTTAACTCGGAGGTCCCGCCTCTCATATAACATAGTAGTGTTGATTTAAACCCTTGCTGTCTTTTCACCGGGGGCTCTCGTGGCCTAGAGGTTAAGGTATTGGCCTCTCATTCAAAGGTCCCGGGTTCGATTCCGGGTAGCGACCAAAAAATTTTCTTCTCTAAAATTGTCTCCTTTCACATCCTTTCCTGATCTCTAACAATGTTCTGTTGTCTGCTTTCATTTCCACTTTCTGCCCCCACCCCCTCACCTCCTTTGCCCCCTCCTCTGGGCTCCTGACTCTTTCTGCAGCCTTTCTACTGTTACTCCTTGGCTCCTCATAAGTGTCCCGAGCGCTCATATGACCTTATGCAGTTGCGAGCGCCGTAAAACCCTATACTAAACAAACAATATCTTTTCACCCACCCCATCTTACGAAAAATAGCCTTTTTTTCACGTAAAAATTGTTTTTTCTCCCAGCCATCCCAAACCCTTTTCATCAATCATGCCACCTTCCTCTCAACCATGCCACCTTCCCCTTCATCGTGCCACCTTCTCCTCCATCATGCCACCTTCCCCTTCATCATACCACCTTCCCCTTTCACCTTTCCCTCAATCACACCACCTTCCCCTCCATCACCCCACCTTCCCCTCCATCACCCCACCTTCCCATAAATCATGACACCTTCCCCTCCATCATGCCACCGTCCTCTCAATCATGCCACCTTCGTCTCAATCATGCCACCTTCCCCTCCATCACGCCACCTTCCCCTCCATCACGCCACCTTCCCCTCAACCATGGGCCTTTCCCCTCCTTCATGCCACAGTGCCAGATGCCGAGACTTCCAGTCTGTGAAGGTCCTCCCCCCGTACTCCCGCCCCCACGAGTCCCCGCCCTGTGCTGTGTGGTACTGGAGCCACGCACAGAGATCGCCCCGACTCTCTGACACTGACCACTGTCCGCTGGAGCAAGGTTTGGAAGGGTTTTGTGTTTGTTTTTTTTAGTTGAGATTCCTAAGGACCACCCTGGAAGTGTGTGTGTGTGTGTGTGTGTGTGTGTGTGTGTGTGTGTGTGTGTGTGTGTGTGTGTGTTGGGGTGGGAGAGGGGAGGGGGTGTCTGTGTGTGTGTATGTATATTGTATGTATTTGTGTGTGTGTCTGTGTGTCTCTCTCTGTATAGGTTGTTTGTTTGTTGCTGTTGTTGTTTTGTTTTTGGTTGTTGTTGTGTGTGTGTGTTGTTGTTGTTTTTTTTGGGGGGGGGTCATCTGGCACTATGTCATATGGGGGGGGGAGCAAGGGGGCGCGGGAAGGGGGGAGGTACCACGAAATCATCCGTCCTTCATGTTGGACAGGAATCTAAAAGAAAGAAAAAAGAATAAATGCATAGAAAGCTATATTAAATGGCATTTTTAACAGCTCCATTAACGAAGAAAGTTTGAAAATCTGACTTTAAAACATCTTTAAAATCAATATACGGAGTTCAGGGAGAATTCTATTATTCCTGGATTATATTCACATTCAATGCTTTAATTTCCGTTCGATATCAGTATGAATTTCGACCCACAATCAATTATAAATTCCATTCATAATCAATAGTTTTAATTTCCATTCACATTCAATTTAAATGTTCATTCACAGTCAATGTAGCTTCCCATTCACAATCGATTTGAATTTCACAGTCAATTTAGAATTCAATTCACTAATAATTATTTTAATTTTCCCTACACAATAAATAATTTAACTCTCTATTTACAATCAGTTCAAATTTCCACTCACTATCAATAACTTAACCTTAAGTTCACAATAAATCTAAATTTCCGTATATACAATCAATAATTTAAAGTTACATTCACAATCAATATCAATTTCCATTTACAATCTATAATTCCAACTTAAATTCACAATCATTCTAAATTTCCACTTACAATCAATAGAATGAATACTTACATTCACAATCAGTCTGAATTTCCATTCTCAATCAATAATTTAAAATTGACACGTTCACAATCAATATAATTTTCTCCAGAGCTGGTGACCTTCTTGAACTACCCGGCGGTGTTCAACGGAAACGCTTATGGCATTGTGCGTCAGCTCTTCCCCCACCACGACCCCGGCCTGGAGGCTGGCAGAGTGCACACAGTCTGGGCTCCACAGTGAGTTTGTATGTTTGTTTTGTTTGTTTGTTTGATTGTTTGTCGTTTTTTTTTCTTTTGTTTGTTAATTGTTTTTTGTGTCTGTTTGTTTATTTACTTTTTCTCTTTTATTTGTGTCACGACGCGGTGGAATCAGGCGTTCGTGAAATTTTTGGCATAATTTTGGAGTTATTGCTGTAATCTTAAAAGCTTGTTTATTTGTCCTTCTTTCTGTGCAAAAATAAAACAAAACCATCCACCTATCTTGAATAGAAGTCGAGATATTTGTGATTGAAGGAGGTAGTGGTAGCCTTTTTTCTGAGGTAAAATTTGCAAGGAAATGGCCGCCAAGGTTTGGTCACTTTTATAGCTTGAAAGTCCTTGAGAACTTAAAATGTACACATTTTATGCCATTAAGCAACGTTTTTCAATAAAAATTCACAGGGAATTGTCAAACTGGAGTGAAAATGCCTGTTTCTTCAATTTCATTATTTTGACGAGCGCCTGATTTCATCATGATGCCTCAGATTTGGTTGGGGGGGGTTTTTTGCGGGGGCTGGGGTTGTAGATGTTTTTATATCTCCAAAGATGCAGCTTCGATCATTGTGGGGAGTCAAGACTCAGAAAAGATTGGAGGGGGGGGGTCTTTTTTGTTGTAGTTTTTGCCCGCAAGCTACCGAGTTAGTTGTGAGTTCAGATTAAAGAATTAAGTCAACCTGGTGTCGGTGACACAGGTTCTAGGTCGGTGGTCACTGAGGTGTCTTTGAGTAAGATATGATAACCCTAGCTAAAAATGAATCAATATAAATAATTAAAACGGGGTGCCTCCCTGTTGCAAGCGACAATGGCATACTTGTGGCAATGTTTTACATCCGCCTCATATTGTGTATTCAATATTCTTTGTATGTAGGTTTGTGTGTTTGATTATGTGTATATTATGTATGTGTGTATGTTTGCCATTGTAACCCAAATATCGGTGATTGGAGGGCGCCAACGGTAGGTCCCACTTCTCTACTTTCCCTCTGTTGTTTCTGTCTGTCTTCCCCCCTAATTTTCCCATTACTTAGTTATGACTATTACTGTGTCGATGAGCTTCTCTTTACTCAAACAAAATAACCTAAACATCTCCCCAAAAAATTAATAATCGTAAAATGCGCTCTACTTATTGTTTAATATTTATGATTATTTTTCATCCTGACGAGTGGCGTCTGTGGCCTAGTGGTTAGACAACCGGAATCGTAATGGTGAGATTTCGAGTTCAGGGATTCGAGCCTCAGCTCGGTCTGACGTTGTGTTCTTGGGAAAGGAACTTTATACGAAATGTGAGGCAGCGTGGTGGAATTAGGCTCTCGTCAAAATAATAAAATCGAAGAAAACAGCAGTTTTCTCCCTGCTTAGCAATTTTAATTTTTTTTTTTTTTTTTTTTGGCTCAACACCTTTTATATCCATTTACAAACACATTCCTTTGAGGATTTCACCGAAAACGTTGATTAAAGGCATAAA